TGTTAGCTCCGTGTGGCTCTTCCAGACTGGGGACCTTGGACGTGTTAGCTCCATGTAGCTCTTCCAGACTGGGGACCTAGGACACGTTAGCTCCGTTTGACTCTTCCAGACTGGGACCTAGGACACATTAGCTCCGTGTGGCTTTTCCAGACTGGGGACCTAGGACATGTTAACTCCATGTGGCTCTTCCAGACTGGAGATGTAGGACACCTTAGCTCCGTGTGGCTCTTCCAGACTGGGGACCTAGGACGTGTTAGCTCTGTGTGGCTCTTCCAGCCTGGGGACCTAGGATATGTTAGCTCCATGTGGCTCTTCCAGATGGGGCCTAGGACACGTTAGCTCCTTGTGGCTCTTCCAGACGGGACCTAGGATGTGTTAGCTCCGTGTGGCTCTTTGATTTTTGTTTTTTTTTCCTGCTCTGTCTCTCTCCCCCACCTCTTTTAAATTGTAACTTTTAATTTTGGAATAATTTAAGATGCACAAGAGGTTGCAACAATAGTAGCACGGAATTTCCGGGTGCCCCTTTCCCCATGAGAATATCTCACATATCCATAGCCCACTGCCCAAACCAGGAAGCTGGTTTTGGCACAAGTGCCATTAACTCAGGTATAGACGTTATGTGGATTTCACCAGGTTTCCCATTCTCTCTCTGGCGTGTGCGTGTAGTTAGTTCTATGATGTTTTATCACATGTGGACGGGAGTGGCCGTCACCACATCAGGATACAGAACTATTCCATCACCACAACCACAAAGAAGAGAGACAGGGTCTTACTCTGTCACCCAGGCTAGAGTGCAATGATGGGATCACAGCTCACGGCAGTCTCAAACTCCTGGGCTCAAATGATCTTCCTGCCTCAGCCTCCTGAGTATTTGGGACCACAGGCAGATGCCATCATGCCTGGCTAATCTTGCTTATTTTTTGTAGAGACACGGTCTTTACAGCCCAGGCTGGTCTTGAACTTCTGGGCTCAAGTAATCCTCCCACCTCAGCCTCCCGAGTAGCTGGGACTACAGGTGTGTGCCACTGCACCCAGCCTCTTGTTACTGCTTACTAGACACACTCTCCCCCAAACCCTAACTCTGGCAACCCCTGATCTATTCTTCAGCCAGTATAGTTTTGTCACTTTGAGACTGTTCTGTACCTGGAGACATGTAGTATGGAACCCTTTGAGGCGGGCTTCTTTACTCAGCACAATGCCTTTGAGAATATGTGGTTCAAAAACAACTTTATAGATAATGTTTATCCTCTTTTAAGCTATCTATAACATGTATGTATGTAAGATCTTTCCAGAAGCTCTGGAAAAGTTACAAAATAGAGAATACTTTTAACATAGAGGGTTGTCACATTGCGTTTCTGCAATATGTCTTTTATTGAAAGCTCTTGGTGCCTATTACTGCGTCAGGATTTTGAGGTGGCATGATGAGATTTCTTGCTCCTAGTTTTTATGACTAAAATTGCCACACTTGCCTTAGGGACCTGTGGGTTTTGAACGCTTGCTGTAGATGAGGTGGCTGACTTGTCCTCAAAGACATTTACAGCCTTTTTTTTTTTTTTTTTTTTTGAGACAGAATCTTGCTCTGTCACCCAGGTTGGAGTGCAATGGTGTGATCTCAGCTCACTACCTCACTGCACCCTCCACCTCCCGGGTTCAAGCGATTCTCCTGCCTCAGCCTCCCAAGTAGCTGGGATTACAGGCATGTGCCACCACATCTGGTTAATTTTTATATTTTTAGCAGAGACAGGGTTTCACCATGTTGGCCAGGCTGGTCTTGAACTCTTGACCTCAGGTGATCCACCCGCCTTGGCCTCCCAAAGTGCTGGGATTACAGGCATAAGTGACCACGCTTGGCCCAGTTACAGCCTTAATAATAGGTTTAGGTCAAAGTAAAGAAGCAATGTATTTCTGGAGAGTGATTCCTACAAATGGTTCTGTTCTTTAAATTAAGATAGTGAAGATTTTGGTAACACAGATGTTCCTTCACATTAATTCCCAATTTGCCATATTTAAAAATGAAGGACCCACCCTGGTATTTCTGAAAGTTAGAGACGGAATTTGCTTATTTGTAGAGCGGCTGCACTGGAACACCTGCCCCTGTTTTCTTGCATTTGTAGAATGATCATCTGTTGCTTTTGAATCATTTTATTTTATCTTTTTTTTTTGTATTATTATCTTCTTTCCAAAAGACTCTGGCAAAAAAGATGACAGTTCTGTATAAGCTGGCCCGGGAGCAGCTGTCCAAGCAGTATCACTATGATTTTGGACTCAGAGCCCTGAAATCGGTGCTGGTCATGGCTGGTGAGCTGAAGAGAGGCTCCTCTGACCTTAGGGAGGTAGGGGCCATGTGCTGGAACATTCTCTGGTTTCAGCTGGTTCATGTGCATTTACTATGTGCTTTCAGGGAGGTGATGGGCACAGTATGGTATCACCTGAAATGTTTAAGTCTTAGCAGCCGCTTCCCCCAGCGCTCTGGCCTTACTTTGGCCTCTTACCTGTTATATCGTTTGCTTTGTAATTACACTTAGTACCTTAAGGTTGAGTGCAACATCCTCACTCCAATACCAACATTTATGATGCTTCCATAGTAAGAATCAATCTGTAGTCTCAGGATGGGTGTGGCGGAACGGTGGGGACTAACAAAATTCTCATGAAAGCATGAATGTGAGTTGTTATTTTCTCTTTGCAACAAAACAGGGGAACGATTGTGGTTGTTTTTACATGGACTTTGAAGAAAAAGTTCAGTCAATGCTGTTCTGTGGGCAATAGGCTCACCTGTTTCTCTAGTGACTGTACTCATAATGTTACACACACGCGCACACACACGCACACACACATTTGGGTAGTAAAAGAAAACAAAACAGCCGCGAGTGCAGTGATAGAAGCCTGTTCGTGTCCATAGGAGGAGAGGCTGTCACAGTGCGGAGATAGAAGCCTATTCGTGTCCATAGGAGGACAGGCTACCACAAATTGCTTCATTCTTTTGGGGTTTTCACACATTCGGGTTTTTTTTTGGAGGGGTCGAAGGAAGAGATATTTATGCTCTTACAAAAAAGGAAGCTATAAAATGTAAAACACTGTAAAGTCAGATGAAGCTGCATTCATCATTGTTACTTCTTTTTCTTAGGAGAAGTAAGTTATATGGAAACTTCTTTCATTTTCTCCCCTGCTCATCTATGTCCAAAGTTGAAGGGCGATCATACTATTGGGTGGGTCATATCTTCTGAACTGAAAAACCACCGATGCCACTTTCAGTCTTAGCAACAGGGAAAACAGTCCCAAGCACTATCTAAGGCTCTACAAAAAAGAGTGAAGCGAATTGCAGCAGTCTCTCCTCTTAGGGAGGTGAATATGGTCCCATCACTGCAGTCACAGCTGGCTTGTTTTCTTTTACTGCCTTACACTGAACCCAAGCATGCATTCATAGGCCTAACTGCTGCACAATCTGGTACTTCCTTAGAAGAATGAAAACATATTGCAAATACCAAATATCCAAGGACTTCTGAGAAAGAGGTAAAAAACAGCCTTCTTTTCTAGGAGGAAAATCCCTCTTCTCATCCAACAAGGTGGAGTTACACATGTAAAACTGTTTGTACAGAGACTGTGATGGTTTCTTCACATAGGAAATTAACTTTGCTATATTGTCTTTGGGCTTCTTTATCACGTCAAAAGTTTGCAAACTTGGACCTTTGTTCTTATTCAGTAAATCTATGTCACAGGATGAGTCAGGATTTAGCGTCTTTTGCTTCAAATTAGAACCACATATTTGGAATTGCTGCAGTTCTCAACTGCGCTTATCATGATAGTGGCAGAAACTGGAGGACATTAAAAAGTCCCTGAAATCAGCTATACTTGCCCTTTATTTAGTCTTGTTTGGAATAAAAGGTAAAGAATTTGCAAATACCACCACCTAAGCACCTGTTTCAAATGAAACATCAGCCTTCAGCTTGCAACATGATGTCTTTACAATTAAGCAAATAGCAGAAGCCCCACGTCAGTTCTTCCTTCTGGAGAAGGCAGGGGAACTGCAATCCCCGGGACTCCTGTGTTGAATCTGAGAGGCAGAACAAAAAGAAAAGTGGCCTTTTCCATTCCACATCCTGGAGGTAATGTGTAGAGAAGAGATACCCACATTTCCAGATAGTGAATACTGAAAAAGAAGCAGGACTTCCTGCCCTAGGAGACAACATAGAGATGCTTGCCAGGTCCTGAGTTCAAAATTTTGTTTTTGAGATTTATATAAAAGCACCTAAGACTGGGTGCAGTGGCTCATGCCTGTAATCCTAGCACTTTGGGAGGCTGAGGTGGGAGGATTGCTTGAGGCCAGAAGTTTGAGACCAGCCTAGGCAACATGACAAAATCCCATTTCTTTCAAAACAAATCCCCAAAACCAAAAAATTTAGCTGGGTGTGGTGGCACGCTTCTATAGTCCCAGCTACTTAGGAGGCTGAAGTGGGAGGATTGCTTGAACCTGGGAGGTGGAGGCTGCAATGAGCCGAGATGGCACTATTACACTCCAGCCTGGGTGACAGAGTGAGACCCTGTCTCAAAACAAACAAACAAACAAAACAAATATATATATATATATGCACACCTAAAGGTCAAGGCAAATGTTCTTCCTGTGATAAGGAACCTTTGCCTTAGTGTAGATGACCATGCGCCTCTGTAAGGTGGGGAGGAGGAAGGTTCCGCTTCTTCCCTCTAGCTGAAATCTGTTTTCTTCTCCTCGCACGGCCCACCAGGACACTCGGCCTCCCAGGAGCAGGCCCACCCCGGCCCCTAGGCTGGATCGCAGCGTTGTGCCTCACTCCTCTGCCTCTGCTGCTTTTTTATATTTTATTTAATTTTTATGTTTATATACAATTTTATATTTTATATTTCACTTTTATATATTTTATGTTACATTTTTATTTTCATATGAAATTTTGAAAAATGCATATTTAAGTTTATATGATTTATATGATCATTATTAAATATGAAATATGAAATTTTATATATTTTGTATTACATATATTTTGTATGTATTTACACTATATAATATACATATTAACATTTTATAGAAATTTTATAAATTTTATATAATTTATAAACAATACAAATATAATTTATGTAATTTATTAATTTATATAAATGATATATATACATTTTATAAAATTTCATTTATATAAAATTATAATATGTGTATATCATTTATATATAATTTATGTTTCATTTTAAATTTTATATTTCATATGTATGTGTGTGTATGTGTGTGTGTGTGTGTGTGTGTATGTATATATATATTTTTTTCAAGACAGAGTTTCACTCTTGTCACCCAGGCTGGAGTGCAATGGTGAAATCTCAGCTCACTGTAACCTCCGCCTCCTGGGTTCAGGTGATTCTCCTGCCTCAGCCTCCCGAATAGCTGGGATTACAGGCACTTGCCACCACACCCAGCTAATCTTTGTATTTTTACTAGAGACATGGTGAAACCATCAGCCAGGTTGATCTCCAACTCCTGACCTCAGGTTATCCGCCTGCCTCAGCCTCCCAAAGTGCTGGGATTACAGGCATGAGCCAATGCACCCGGCCATATATGTGTATATTATATAATATGAAGTACATATTATATGAAATATATGAAATATACATATTTTATATTTTATGTTTAATCTCATATAAACTTTATTTTATATAATTTTTATTTACATATTTTAATATAAAAATTAAAATTATGTAATTTCTGTATATATGTATTATATATTTATATATACAGGACTTATATAATTTTAAATTATATAAATTTCTGTAATTTAAAATTATATAATTTTAAATTAAATGTGTATAAATTTTTTTAAAAGTATAAAATGTTTATATAAAAATTATATTTTATATTTCATAAGAGTGTTTCCACCGGGTTGGAAACACAGTCTAAAGCACTGGGTTCCTTTGGAAATCTCTTGGAAACGTGTTTCATTTCCTGCAGGACGTGGTGCTGATGAGGGCCCTGCGAGACATGAACCTGCCCAAGTTTGTGTTTGAAGATGTTCCTCTTTTCCTCGGTTTGATTTCGGATCTGTTTCCTGGGCTGGACTGCCCTCGTGTCCGCTACCCTGACTTCAATGATGCGGTAGAGCAGGTCCTGGAGGAGAACGGCTACACGGTCCTACCCATCCAGGTAAAGCCGGGAAAATGAGCTCACTGTGGCTGTGCATCCTTTCCATTGGCTTTTTGTTTTTGCAGTTCTTTAAAAATATATGTATAGTAAAATACACAAAAGTTTCACCATCTTAACCATTTTTCCCCATTTTTAAATCGTGGTAAAATACACATAACAATATTTACCCTGTTACCTACTTTTAAATGTAGAGTTTGTTAGGCCCGGCGCAGTGGCTCGCGCCTGTAATCCCAGCACTTCGGGAGGCTGACCAACATGGAGAAACCCCATCTCTACTAAAAATACAAAAATTAGCTGGGTGTGGTGGCGCTCGCCTGTAGTCTCAGCTTCTTGGGAGGCTGAGGCAAGAGAATTGCTTGAACACGGGAGGTGGAGCTTGCAATGAGCCAAGATCATGCCGCTGCACTCCCGCCTGGTGACAGAGTGAGACTCTGTCTCAAAAAATAAAAAAAAAAAAAGAAAAAATGTAGAGTTTGGTAGCACTAAGTATATTCACATTGCTGTGCAACCATCACCATTATCCATCTCCAGAACATTTTCATATTGCAAAACTAAAACCCTGTACCTGTTAACTACTTACCTTCTCCCCTCGCTCCAGCCGCTGGCAACCTCTGCTCGACTTCCTGTCTCTACACATTTGACTACTCTAGGTACCTCTTGTAGGTGGAATCATATAATTTTTGTCCTTTTGTGTCTGGCTTATTTCACTAACAGTGTTTTCAACATTTATCCATGTTGTGGCATGTGTCAGAATTTCTTCCTTTTTAAGGCTAAATTTTATATATGTAGTTTGTTTCACACAATGTGATCAGATGACCCGAATATTTTGTTTTGAGGCATCAACCATCAGAGGTTCTTTCCTCACCTCACCTTTTTTTTTTCTCCTGAGTCACACTTAGAAAAAAATTGAATTGGATATTGCTGGGGTAGGATTTGGATCCTCTGAAGAGCCTGTAAGTTGTATATGTTGTCATTAAGCCAAATACGTATTGATTGGCAGAGTCCTGCTGAGAATGTAAATGCTCAGAGCCTCCAGGCCTGGGGGATTGCCTCGGGTTGGGCAGCTTCAGGGTGTCAGGCTACCCCGGAGGCCTCAGGCCTGGGCAGTGGGCACCGGGTACCGGCTGTGGATGAGAGCTTTCTGTGCCTTTCCTGACCCTGATTTTCTCTGTAGTTGGTCGTTAAAAGCATGTGTTTTCTGGAAGGAATGTAAAATGGTGCAGTCACTTTAGAAAACAGCCTGGCAGTTCAACAGGTTAAACCGAGAGTTACCATAAGACCAGGCAATTTCACTACTGGGATCTACCCAAGAGTGAGGACAAACATCTGCTCAGAATTGTTCACGAATGTCTGGAGCAGCATTATTCATAATAGCCAAAAAGTGGTAGCAACCCAACATCCATCAATTGATGGATCAACTGCTGAAACAGAATGTGGTCTGTCCATGCCATGGGATATCTTTTGGCCATAGAAAGGAATGCAGCGCTGACGCATGCTGCAACATGGATGAGCTTTGAAAACACGCTAAGCGAAAGAAGCCAGATGTGAGAGATCACACATTCTAGGATCCCATTTCCATGAAATGCCCAGAATACGCAAATCCATAGAGATAGAAAGTAGATGAGTGGTTGCCAGGGGCTGGGGGAAAGGGGATTGGGAGAGATGGGTGCAGGGTTTTTTGCGGAGAGGGGTGATAAAAATGTTCTAAAATTGCTCGTGGGGATGGTTGCACAAGACTCTGAATATACTGGAAACCATTGACTTATACCCTTTCAAAGGTAAATTGTAGGCATGTGTGTTGTATCTCAATAAAACTGTTTCAGGAAAAGATCATGTTTTAGCCCAACTGCCATTGTTTGTCCTGCAGGTGGATAAAGTGGTTCAAATGTTCGAGACCATGTTAACCCGCCACACGACGATGGTGGTGGGACCCACCAGAGGGGGCAAGTCCGTCGTCATTAACACTCTGTGTCAGGCCCAGACCAAGTGAGTATGACCTCCATGGCAGGGCCTGACTGCCAGGGGGTTCACGGTGTATGTTTGGTGTCAGTATTACCAAGTCCCACTTTGCTCTCTGATTTCCTGGGAGGGTAAATTTGTAATACACACCCCTTTTGACTCAGGGTGTTTTTACTGACTTTATTGCAGACTCAGTTAAGATATTTTAGAATGCAAAATAGCAACCCGCTTGTGCATCAGATGGTGAATAGGTTCATTTGTGAAATGAGAGTTTCACAAACTATCTTATAAGGATATTGTGAGAATGAACATGAAGTCATAGTTTTTTGGTGTCTAAATTGCTTCCTTACAGTAATTCAGGATTCACCTTATGCAGCACTGCTGTGGTTTCGCAGTGGCCAGAAAAAGAATGTCACCTCCCCGGGTGCCTTATAATCTCTAGCCCTTCAGGGGCAATTCTTCATGCAGGAAACAGTGATCATACACTCCCACATTGAAGATCATAAAGGAGCCAGGCATGGTGGCTCATGCCTGATTTAATCCCAGCACTTTGGGAGGCCAGGGTGAGAGGATCGCCTAGTCTAGGATTTTGAGAACAGCCTGGGCAACATAATGAGACTCCGTCTCCACATTAAAAAAAAAATTAGCTGTGTGTGGTGACGTGCACTTGTAGTACAGCTACTCAGGAGGCTAAGGAGGGAGGATTGCTTGAGTTCAAGAGTTTGAGTCTGCAGTGGGCTAGGATTGTGCCACTGCACACCAGCCTGGGCAACAGAGTGAGACCTTCTCTCTAAAAAAAAAAAAAAAAGAGAGAGAGAGAGAGTATATCATAACAGCCTGCAGTGAATTGAAAGCCTTCTACTGAAAGTGGATGCCTGACTCCTCGCTTCTCTCCTAAGCAATAACTAGATTCCAGAAAGACCTCCGTGGATGCTGACAGTCTGGCAAAAATCTAAATCAAGCCAATAATTTTTGTGACTTAATAGGCAGTCTATAAAATCTAAAGAGTAAGCGTATGTCATTTGTTCCCATTGTTTCTTCATATGTTTCATGTGAGAAAACCAGCTGGCAGTGGTTTACTGACCCTAAGTGGGCTGTACTGCGGCCATCTGCATTTCATTCTTTAATTCATTCATTGTTAAATAGTTTATAGAACTATCACACAC